AGTATGTAGATGAAGAAGATCTTGTCAATGTCATCAAAGGCTTCAGCACAGTCACCAAGGAGCACACCACATTCACTGACACCCACCTCTGAAGAACACAATCACCTTCTCCAGAAAACAGTGGGTAACTTGCCAAAAGCAGCCTGCATAGCCTTTAGGGGAGGGGATAGGGCTCTGGTTTCCCCACCCCATGCCCAATAGTTAAAAGATAAAACTGTTTGTTGGGAGGGGATGTGCAGGGATAAGTTGGCCTTTTTTTTTTTTTTTTCCCACCATCTCTTCAACTGTAGTAAAAACTATGTGTTAGCACTGACACCTCAGAAAGGTAAAAGAGAACAGTTTGAAAATCCCTAAGTCATACAGTAGTAGAAGACTGTGAAGGTAGAGGCTCTTGCATTTGTCTCTCATCCAATTTTCAGAGTTCAGGAGGGTTGTGGGCGTGGGAGGGGGGCAGTGTGCTTGGTAAGGAAAAATCTTTTACCTGTCCAAAAAACAGCATGTGGCAAAAAGGGGCCTTCGTGAAAGGATAGCCATGTCTTTTCCTGCCCTGACAAAGCTCCACCACAACACTGTGTTCAGGGACAGGTGAATAAACAGTAAATGAAGGAATTCTTATGGAGTTGCTTTAACCTTTGTGTTCTCTCCCTCCCTCTTTCCCACCCTCTTGGTTCAAATGTAAAAAAACAAAAAAAAGCCATTAATTAATGCTTAACTCCAAGCATGCTTTTTCAGGGGTAGAAAACTTCCTAACCCACTCCCTATTACACACTTCCTGTCAGAGCCTTCCCTTTTGCTTATGTATTACTAATCTACAGGCAATAAAATGTGTTCACCGCCCACAGTAAACTAGGAGCAAACAGCAAGCAGCCAGTGCAACACAGGTAGGAAATACCATGTCAAGGCACTTGTACTTGAGAATTATTATACGATGACAGTAAATCTACTCCCATATTAATCTCTGTCCTTTTTCCAGAGAAAGTGACAGGGAAGCCCTCAAGAGACAGCCAGTTCTGTGTATTCTGCAAGCATATTTTTATGCACGCTCCCAGTCCCAATCAGTAAAACCCATCATCTGATACCACACATTTTCAGAAAGCACAAGCAACACTCCTCTGGCAATTTATTTGGACTAAGAGGCAAAATAATATGCTATTTTGAATAGCTTCCTCCTTAACCTACACAAAACATTTCAGATTTCAGACAGCAACATAGAGAGCATTCATAAAACAAGACTACAGAGGGAGCCCTGTAAAATAGGCAAAATCCAGCCAAGACAGCAGCACCTCTGCAGAGCAATGTGTGGCTGCGTCTAAAGGCATCTTCCACTGAGCAACCAAGTATTACTTTAGCACCCTCCCTTCCCCCAAAACAAAAATAATCACAACATATCACATGCCTGACTATGTTTACGCAATAACGCACAACAATATTTTGGACCAAGTACCGTACCACATTTTGGAGCATTACATAAAGCCACAGCTTGATGTGGACGACTCTTCAAAGGTTTGGCAGCAGCCAGGTACTTTCTCATAACCTTACAATTCTCATTCTGTGTATCAGAACAAAGTCCCAGTCAAGAAACAACCCACAACACCTAACGTTACGCCTGCTGCCAAGCCAGAGGGCACCTGCACCTCATCTTTGCCACCAGTCACATTTTCACAAGCCATAGTCTTGGCAGGAGGAGTCATTCTTCCGGTGACGTGGTGAAGCAGCTGTCTTCGTAGGCGATGGAGAAGCCACACCAGGTAATTCAGGCCCACCTTCAGCAAGGACTGGTGCAGAGGCCAGGAGAGGCACTTTCTTCCTTCCCAGGAAGCCAGCTCCTTCAAAACCCATTTTCTTTTTGCTTTCTGCTTTGGCTTCGCTCTCCTCTTCTGGTCCTCTTCGTTTGAGATTCGGTGAACTCTCTGGCAGATGGTGAACCTCTGTACTGCAGCACCCACCTGCATCTGTCACGCCTGTGCCTCGCACTTCAAATGCTGTTGTTGGGACTGCCTTCCTCTCAGCTGCACTGCCCTCAGCTGTTGCCTTCTTGGCCTCTGTCTGGCTTGAATTCCCATTTGCAGCAGCTGCCTTTTCTGTTGGGCTTTTGCTGGATAAGTTAAAAGCCTGGAAGTCCCGGTAACTGTGAAAGCTCTCCGTCCGCCTTGCTCTTGCCAATAGGGGACTTTCTCTGTATGGCCGCACAGAACCATAGGTGGCTGTTTCATGGATTGTTTCGTGGTGCTGCAGTTGGAGGCTTCAAAAGAGAAAACCAACAACTAAGGACAAGAGCACATGTTAGGCTGAGAATAGCAGCCAGTTCTTCTGCACACCCTGCTCCCACCCACCACTGCAACTCCCACTAAAACAGCAATACACTCATCACAACCCCTACAGAAGGGCTTCCAGATCACTTACTTCAAATTCTCATACAATACTTTAATCTGCACACATATAAACCAACAGAAATTGAGGAGTATGTGTGTGTAGTTCAAGACACGTAGGACAATCCATACTCAAGGGCTCAGCTACAGCATTCAGGTCACCAAACCCCTCTTTGCCTATGTGAAAGGTAAAACCTTTGGTGTCTGCAGCCGGTGCCACCCTTGGTGACTTACCTGGAATTAGATTCCCGAAGCCGGTTTGGCTGAACAACTGAGGTGGCAGGACTGATGTTGGGTGTGGCACAGCGAGACGTACTCAAGTCACACTGGTCAAGCAACTTGAGCAGCTCTTCCTCTGTGGGGCCGCCAACATCTGAAAGAGACAGCTCTTAGTGCCCAAGTCCATTTACCATAGTCATGCATATGTGAGGACAAAAAAAGAACCACACCACAGTCCTGGCACAACACAACTTACCTTTGTCTTCACTCTTATTAACCATGTCCATAGCTGTGGTCAGGTCCCACATCTGGATGCTGCCATTTGAATGCCCAGTGAAGAGGTAGCGGCGTGGCCGGGAGCCCATTCTGCTGGATCCTTCACATTCTCGCACAGTAAATGATGAGATGGTAGTGCAGTCAACTGCCTGGATCTCACAGATCCTACAGGAAGAGAAACCCCAAGTTATCAAAACAATTGCACCTGGCAGAGTTTGGTGAGTGAAGTCAGTACTGTTTTGATTTCCTGAGAAGGTACCAAACTTGCCATCAGAAAGAGACCTTTCTTCCACATGAAATTCCTTCCCTTGCATGACTGGCATGCTGCCCAGCTGCAGACAGTACCTTGCCCACCAATCCATCTTACTACTTGTTTATTTTTATTAGGGAACCCCCGTATGTTCGGTGTCCATTTTCAGTTTGCAATGATTAGAAACCTAAGGCTCTCACAAGAATGACAGCAACTAGCCCCTTCATGTGCTAGGCACTCTAGGAAACTAACCTGCAGAAACAGCACATTTAACCATATAAGAGATATGCAAAAAAAAAATCCAAGAATGATAAAACCAAGGTTATCTATACAGATAACTTCTGCCTTATGATAACTGCAGTAACACTTGATATGGCAAATCTCCATTGCTTTTTTGCCCTTTATTTGAGAACCTTATGTGGGGAGCGAAAGGAGAAAGACTCCCAAAGCTAAGCTGTAAGCCAGACTCCACACCAGAACCTCACATATTCCGGGTAATTTATTTTACTGGCCCCTTGTATTGAGCTTTTTACCCCAAAAAAGTGCCAAAATAAGTCATCTAGTAAGCTCTCCACTACATACAAATCTAGCCTGAAGTAAGGGCGGGGTGGGGTGGAAAACACATCAGTAATCCTCAATTCAGATGCCAATAGTGTCAAGGCATCAACATTTTCACCCAGATTCAAAGTTATTAGGCAAGAGATGCAAGAACAGTAAGAAACATAGAACTGAGATGCACCATCTTTTCTGATCTCTTGCTGTTTTCCTAGCCTAACAGGAAGCAAAGCAGCTGTGGTTATTTAGCAACTTTTTTACTACATTGGCAGAAACGTATTAGAATATTATGAAGTCAAGCCTAAGTAACAATTGTATAGCTGACCTAGAAGACTGTCTCTCAGTTTTAAAGGTTCTAATATCTTCAAAGACAAAGGAAGAGAGAAACTGCTTCCCTGTCTACCTTTGTGAGCAGCATAATCCCTGCCACCAGCAACTTCAGCATTAGTTTTGAAATTTAATGTTAGCACGGTACCATGGCTGAGAGTTACAGATTCTGTAGAGGCACACAAATGTTTGTTTTGTGAGCTCAGCAGGTGAGCCATCATGAAGTGAGTCTCTGATACCACATTCAAAATGCCATTTGGCTTCTAGGTTATAGTAGATCATTAAGTACGGTTCTGTTACTAACACACAAACTAGAGTTCACCCAGACCTGTCAAGCACATTAGAAGCTTGCTAAGTGCAACTGCATCATGCATCCCCAAGAGATGGGAGACCCCACCACATGAACAGTCCTGCTCCTTTCCCACTTAAAACCCTAAACATGGAGGTACCTTTTCCCAGTTGAAGACAGCCTTACAAACAGCTTATTAGTGATGGGAACAACTTTTTGGATAAACACCTGTTGATCATCACGTTCACCAAAGGGTCCTAGAGAAAAAAAGAAAAAAAAAAAAAAAAATCACTTTTTTGTTTGTTTGCTTCAATTCCCTCACCCTCTTCCCCACACAGTCCTGAAGACCCAAACTCATATTAGTATGACCACTGCAATTTTAAAGCATCGGGACCAGGGAACCAAAGATGACTAACAGCTCAACAAACCATCCAATAGTTAGAAGCCTGTGCAGATAGACATTTTTTTGTTCTTTTGTTCTGAAGGACACCCATTCTTGAGTTTCCTGCATGTTCCTGGAGGAATTACTATGTCAGTACAAACCCTACATTAGGCCTCTATAATAACAATAAGTATTTTCTTATTTTGCAGCTCCTAGGTGTCTAAAGGCTTAATCAGATTTCTTGCCATAGTACTGACCCCACCCTGTATTCACAGGGCATCCTATTCATCAAAGGTTCATTTGCAAGACTCAGACCACAAAGGAATCCAGACTACCCGTCTACCCATATTTACTGACATGCATTCCTTCAGTATCTTGCTATAGCAATGTGCTAGCACCATTTGCCTCTGCAGTTTCAAGGTTTCAGTAAACTTTGTCACAACTTCAAATTCATTTAAGAATTTTTCACATGTGCATCATTTAATCCTGATGGAACAGTGAACTGGAATTTGCAGTAGACCCAAACCTTGCTGTGCTCATCTGCTTTAATACAGTCCCCTGTGCTTTCTGTCATTCTCTAGTTAAACCAAAAGTGAAATGCTACATCAGTTTGCTCAAGGAAGAGGTATAATGTCTGGTTCAAAAGTTTTTCCTCCCTTTTTCTCACCTTCAGAGTAAGCCCTTTAAGTGTACTCACTCTATACAGCCTAAATAGTATTTCCAGGTGAATCTTACAGATCCCTGCCATCTTTTCAGGGGGAGAGCAGTATATAAGAGCTTATACCCATCAGCTGACTTGCATGTTACAGGGTTGAAGGTCTGTTAAACCTTTATGAGACCAGTGAACATACAGGCTCAGCACAGCGTATTAGAGAGACATCCTACCAATGTCATTTCCAGAACTGTAACTGCCATGACTCTCTGCTTCCTCAAGGGATAAGATTTTGAATGATGCAAGAGGTGTTGAGCCTGGCTGAGTTGAAATCATGCCCCGGAACCGAGTCACAGTCCATGTCCTTACATGGTTGTTATCAGCACAAACTAGAAAGGAAAAGATGTACAGTAACATTTATAAGCGATGGCAAAACTTTTGAGATAAACTTCTCTAATGATTTCTGTATGATAGTTTTTCAAGATTGAGTGATCAAGCAGAATTTAGTCAATGTCAGGTCACACAGCATCTCCAGAGATTTATCTAACAATCCACAAATTGTTGCTGATGTCCTATTTTCTATTAGTTTTGTCTCTTCCCTCAGAAATTCAAGAAACAAACTGAGGCAGGTGGAACACAACATTAAGGTCTGACTGAGTCAGCACCAGTAGCTTACCAGCACACTTCAATCCTCTGTGTGCAGATGCTAGGACAAGACGTCATGAGAGCAGCCTGGCAGCAGCATCACACAATAGTGCTCTCCTACTTCATTCATCAGTTATTCAGTTTTCTACACACAGATGTGCCCTTCCTGGCACTGAGGTTTTAGCACCAAGTTGCAGGGGAACAGATAACCTCTGGGCTGTTTGTTTGCAGTATAATTGGATACCATGTTTCCTGTTCCTTTTTTTTAAAAAAATTGGGATAGCAGCAGAAAGTAAATCTGTTCTCTGCCATGCCCTGGTTGCTGGATTCTGGGGGAAATGGATTCTTACAGAGGGAGACGTGATTGCATCTTCCCTAAAAGCAAGACACTTTCCAGAGCATAAGATAGGACAAACAGGATAGCACAACAAACACTGGGAGACTGCTGAGGAAAAAAAAAAGCACAGACAGCCCTTTGAAGTCATGGGAAGGCTTTTTCTAAGGCCCAAGAGGAGATGGTGCACATTTTTCTGCAACCCAGAAAGCTCGTGAAAGGCTGTTAAAAGACGACAAGTCCTAAAGGGCCTGTCCACAACAATAAGCCTTGACAGGGATACATTTTTATTTCCACAAATGGCAACCTTGGAATAAGACGCAAACAAAAGAGTTAGCTGTTCCAGTATCTGGTCAAATAAAACTTAGGCCTTTTAACTGCTAAAGGCTTTGAAGAATGTTTAAGAAAGAGGATCCAAGCAAATCTAGCCCCTCCCCCATCCCCAAATCTGTCCAACTCATTTCTATCACATATGGGAATAATGCAAGTTATAAAGTAATGCATACAAATACTTCATTGCTCAGGAGGAGGGGAGAACCACCAGTACAAATTTGTGCACAGAAAAGAAGATTACCTGACACAAGGTGTTTCTCTGAGAGCATGATCTTCGTAACAGGACTTCGATGAACTGTGAAGGTCTGAAAGAGCTGAGGCCCAGACCCAACTGTTTCAGGGTGCTGTACAATCACCCTCACTGCTCCAGAGCTGGTGCCATATGCAATCTCAATCCAATTGCCGCTTACACCTAAAGCAAGCAAGAACACAGTTGTTCCCCCAAGGAATGAAAGCTTCTCTTACTGGGGCCAGGGAATGAAGCAATAGAAAATAGTATTTCCAAGCTTCCACAGTAAGATAGATATTTATTTTAAACATTGTTTACTCATTATTTTTCAATGAACAGAGATGACATTTTGCCACTAAAAATCCCCAACATTTGTTCAATTCCATACTACATTCTTCAACACTGTCTTAACAACAGCCTTCTCTCCTATTCTCTCCTCCCTCCTAGAAGTGAAAGAAGAGATGGATAAAGTCATATGATCAGATATTTTGGCACTCCTCACAGTGATACGGTCAATATGTGCCACATACCGTTTATTTTTCTGCCTTAGTGGGAGAGAATGGGAAAGCAAGGCAAGAGCAGGGAGGACTATAGTTAAAAAGGTCACTGTGATATCAATGCAGTGATGTGAGTAACCACCTTCTCCCAGTTTGGGGTTTTTTTGGTTGGGGTTTTTTTTGGTTGGGGTTTTTTTTTTTTTAATTTAAAAGATAGCTGCACTGCGATTACAAAAGGGTATACAGACACAATAGCTAAGCATCATTCAGCTGCATATAGAAATGTTTTTTAGTATATTGTTTACAAGGTTAGACATAACAACAAGGTTGCCTCCCCCCCGCCCAGTTCACCACAAACTATTTCAGTGAATACAGTTCATAATCTAAGTGCATATCTTGTGCAAAAGGCTTAAAACCAGCAAAGGTACATTATGCACAAGCGTTAATATATGATGCATTATGTTATTACATTATACATTAATGTATAATGCATGATGTACAAGCATATGCACACATACTTGTAAGTACATGTACGTATTTATTCATATGTACAGATGTAAGGGTTAACTGTTACACCTACTGTTCATTGTTCACTTGAAGATGATTAAATGAAGAAAAATTCATGGTTTATGTCAAGGCCAACCTTGTCTGCTTTAGCCCTGCTATGCAGCAATAGAAAAAGTCCATTTCGAAAAAAGAAAAAACCCATATCTGTAACAGACTCTCACTGAAGAGACAGTGATAGAATACTGACTTGTTTTAGGCGTGAGGTAGACACTGAGCGCTGTTATAGCATCATTGGAGGGATCATGGTACAATTCTGTCACTAGAAGATCATTGTCTTTCATTCGCAATGGGAACTTCTGCATGTCTGTGGGGAAGAGACATTTGTTTATTATTCTGAATAGACAGAGTTGTTCTGATGCAACTTAGACCAACTAAAGAGTTTAAGAACAAAGCTGCTCAGTACCACCTCCTTTTATTCCACCCTATTACCATTTCCTACCTATATAGTAGATAGAGCCATTGTTACAGCCCAGCAGCAGAAAAGACCCAGCAGTATCATAGCTTGTGATAGGAACAACATCCTGAACCTAGTGCAAACAGAAAGGAAAAAAATAAACAAACAAATCAAGAAGTTAGGTTGCTACTTTCTCAGTTTTCACACATTTTCGGTACATTTTGTTGAAGAATACCTGAGTTTGGTACTGGTCTGAAGCTGTTGTGCACGCATTCACACGTACAATGGCATTCTTAAAGTACTGCTGGTAGATCACACTCCTCTACCAAACCAGATCTTAAGTCATGGAGTTCAGCAGAAGCACGCAGCCAATTTAGCACAACTGCTCTAGAAGATCCTTCTCCATGTGAAGGCACAAAGCTTACGAGCGTTGCAGCTAAACCACATCTTCAAAAGAGGGTTTTTTTTTTTTCCAATATGCAAAATTAGTGTACTTCACACTTTCTGTTCTATCCCTTCTTCCCTGACAGCTCCTTAACAGGTTGCGAGGCAAAGGAACTAGATGTTGCCTCTCTAAGCCTTCCTTTACCCCGAGTTGAGTCCTTCTACCAGCCTCTATGGAGATCTCAGCCTCTAGCAGATATATAACGAGGGGAAAAAAAATTCTTGTGCCATTACAATTTCCCACTTCCAATACACATCCGTACCAAGTAAACTGGAAGGCAGCCTTGTCATATTTTACTTACTGGTCTACAACTTAAGGTGAGGGATTAAGAATGCCCTCTCTTTGCCCTCTAGGATCAAAAGGAGTGCTTATCCCCTCAGGTGGGACAGAGATCTCAAACAAAGAAAATGTTTAGCTTATGCTAGCTATGATCCCCTAGCTCAAGCAATTCTTTTTTGCTTCAGCCCTGAGAAAGAAAAAGCCAAAAGCCATTTTTTCCAGAGCACTCAAACATGCACAAAGTCATAGCATTTTTCCTGCACCGCATATGCTTCAGTCAGTCCACTTAATGGACACTGAACACTAACTCATGGAAATTTCAGCTTAAATTCTCATTTCTCTCTGATCAGCAGCATCCTTCCAATTGCTTCAGAGACCTGCAAAATCATTTGCAAAATACCTACCGTGAATCTGTTGGATAAAAGCAAAACAAACCAACCAAAGAAACTTCCCTGCACCCCACAGTATCCAGTATCCATTCCTAACCTAAGGATAGCCTTTAAGCCCCTAAAACACATTCTAAGCCTATCAAGTAGCCTTACAGAGAAGGCTGCACATGAATATAGCTTCTGCATATTTTCCTGAAAGGGAAGGAGGGAGGAGGCACTTTCCCTCCTTTCTTTCTTTGAAGAACTACGCCTCTCTCACTTATGTTCACCCATAATTCAGCACAGATCCAATGCTAAAAATAAATTGCTCTTGGAAAGCACTTGGATTTTCCCTGTATAACTGATGATTGAATGACCTGGAGAAGGAACCTTTTGAATTACTGAAAAGAATTGCTATTCTTGATCTCAATGGTTTCACATAAACAGCTGTATCTGAAAAAGTACTAAGTACCCTATCCTCCCCACAATCAAATTCATACCACACCTAATTAAATAAGGCATCTAATGATCTGGGCCACAGAACTTGGTTTCAAGAGATTTATTTTTTTCCAGACTACTTTAAAGAAGTAGTACAAGAGCAGAAAGGCAAGAAAGTAAACAGAATCTCAGCATCTAAGAGCCTCTGGATCAAGGTGCAGTGTGCTCTCTGGTTCTGTGGATCACAGGTATAAACAGAAGCTCTCCAATCTGCAAAAAGTTTACAAAACTGACGAAGGTAAAGGCAACCCATCAACAGATATACTACTTTACTCATGACCTTGCAGAAGATGTAACAACTGCAAGGAGAGGTCTGAGCAAGAGGATCCACAATGCTGCCGACAGCAGAGATTGACTGACTGGGTCAGAGAGATCATACAAAACAAGGAGAGTCCTTTCTTCTGCAGGAGAGAGAGGAACACCAGAGGTGATTCAGCAGTTGCACCTGCCAGGATGTGAACTTTCATTAGGAAACAGAGTGACGCTATACTACAGTCACTGGTAAAACATGGCCAGCGAGAATCCTCGTTTCACAGACCAAGTTTTTCTGTCATATTATATTGCTTTATGTTACCTCTTATTCTGCTTCCTTTAAGCTCTCCTATGCTAAGAATTTCACTACTGATGTATCTAGCACCTGCAACCTCTTCTCCTTATTGCATGCAACTGAAACATTGCCAGAGGAGTAAGTACTAGGGAAAGCACCTCAGCTAGTCTGCTCAAATCTCCAAGATGGGAAGAAGATGCAAGAACCAATTACAGGCAGAGGTCAGAGTTACATCTTCAGGGTGTAATACACCAAATACAAAACTCACAGTGTAAGGAAGGATAGCTTTGCACAAACTAAGCCTTCTTAAAGTAAAACTTAGAAAGGTATCAGGAAAGAAAGCCTGAAAGGAAACAAAGTTCTTGGTCTGAAATTGGGCATTGACACATTCTGTTCCTCAAAATCTCTCTCACTGCAGCAAGTATGATTACATCCTAAGTCCAGAGCTATGGGCAACTCATGGAAAGCAGTTACACAAATATGTATTCTCATGAGGAATCTGAAGATCAGAGGCACAGCCCTGCCACTTAAGTCTTTATGAGGTTCTTCAAGGAGAATGTGTTCTAAAGGGAGATAAAGATCTATAGGAGGATGGGTTTTTTTTCTTCTTACTAACAAAAGAGTCTGAGGTACAGAAAGCACCTTGAAACTGGCTGGAGTTGGGGTTTGGTTTTTGTTGGTTGTTTTGGTTTTGTGTGGGTTTTTTTGTTTGGGTTTTTTTTTTGTTCAGTTTTTGGTGGAGTTGTTTTGTTTTTTGTTTCTTTTAAGGGAGCTATTCTCATCCTCTGGGGAAAAAATTAGAAAGCCAAAAAACTTGGTTTTGGGACATCCTGGCATATAAGCCCCTCTTAAAGATTTTCTACTCTTCAATAAGAAATGTTTTCTCCAAAGGAATAGTCAGCCAAACTGAAGAACTATTAATGTGATTGGAAAGATTTCTGTGGCTCCCCTTGGAAACAAAGGTGAATGGGACATCGGTTTTTATTCCTTATGAATTGCTCCTTTAGAAAATATTGTCAAATGCCAGCCTGCCACATTGCATTAAGTTGTCTCTTAACAGAAGATTTTGCAAGGCATCAGTAGAGCTTTAAATAATGTTTTGTTTAATTCAAGACCATATTAACATGTCTGTCTCTGCTGCAGCACCAGTGCTATCCCATGCTTATTGTCTGTGTTATTTGTTAGCAGCACTGTCACTTAAGGGTTGAATCAGAACTTAGTCAGCAAACAGTGGAGCAGCCTCAGGTCAGTTCTGCCTCTTGAGATTTATTTGCAAGGCAGTTTTTGGATTTTTATTGCATCCAGGGTTTGTGCTGCAAAGGCGTACATCTGGCTGTGTTATGAGCTTTGTTATTCACATGAATGCTTGACTGTTTTCTCAGACTTGTACAAACTCCAAGGATCTCTCTATTTAATATGCATTCTGACAATAGGAATAAAGTCAGTGCAGCCAGAAGCATCAACGTGCAAGACAAACATCTTTAAAGCACCACGTATATTTTGCTGAAGAAGAGTATCCCATTGTAAAACAACTTTTGAGATCCCCAGATAGACTGCCTTCTTGTTTTCTTCTTCTTTCAGAGAGTGCAGAAATTGCCATCACACATTCCCCACAATTTTTTTTTTTATTTCCTATGATACTAGTGAATTTTTACAAAGTTAGTAAACCACAAGGAAGTTTAGATATACACACATTTGACATTACTCCAAATCACACCACGTCCTTTTATTTGAAAGCCTAAAAAGCATGCTTGGTAGTACCACCAAACAATTCAACATTCTGCTCACAGGCACAATACTCTGATACCAAGGTGGCAAACTCCGTAACACAAGTCAGGGCTGAAAACCCTGACAAGCACTTCACACATCCTTTTAGATTATTTTATTCTTTTTACTAGAAAGACATACCAGCTTCTTAACAGTGATGCGGAAAATTGAATTGAACACACCTGCCAATGCTGAGTCACAGCGTTCCACACTCCCACTTTCCCTGTATGGCTTGTAGCCACCAACTGGTTGCCAATGAAGAATAGAGCATCTACAGGGACTCCAAGACTGAACACTCCTACAAAAAATGAAGAGTCTATGAAGCTCATCTAAAATAAAGAGAAAAAAACAGTAACAATGGAATCTCTCCACTATTATCATATATCACATTTAGTACAGTAGCAAGTAAAGAACAGCCAAAACTGGATTTGCAGTGTGCTAGGTGAGGTACCATTCAAGCAGGAAACTGGGTTCCATTAAATTAAGTGGCAGCGTGATGTCATCTCTGCTGATGCAACCATTACTTGGGAAGGAGAAAGAAGGCAAGAGAAGGAAGAGCCCATGTGAAATATGCATTCCTCATTTTTCTACAGCCATCAAGTTCTCAAATGGCTTTATACATCCTAAGGCATTAAAAATAAATAAATAAAAATCCTATTACAGCAAGCAGGATTTTTTTTGTTGTTTTGTGTTGTGTTTTGTTTTTTTTTTTTATCTGTGACTATTAGGTGTCATTTAGGAAGCAGTAATTAGACAGACAAATTTATGCCACACTAGTTTGCAATTACCTTTTGAAGTATTACAAGTTCTCATCGCCTTTTTTTTTTTTAAAGTCCAATCAAATAGACATAGTCTGAAAACATAATTTTAGAATCTAAATACAGCTACAAGGCTTCATCCTTATCCTTGGGAAAAGGCTGAACGACCCCAACATGACACTGCTTGAATACATTCAAATTTCTCTTTTAGAAGAAATACTCAAACCTGGAAAAATAAGCAGCCTGCAAAAGCCTATTTTTCTTTCTTTTTCTGTTCATCTCCACATCTTAAAGTTTGGTTACTGTCCATGAGTAGAGAGTACAGGCTATTAAAAATTGAAACTACATAGGGAACCAGTTTCACCAATCATCACATGCTATTCAAGATCTAGAAGGTAAGACTTACCAGCAAATGTGGCATCAAGAACATTTCACTTAAAAAAATCAAAACACTGCAGAACATGACAGGCATTGATGACTATGGTTATAACAGACCTTAACATCTGAGCTTTTCCACAAAATCTGTCCTCTCTTTAGAGCTTCCTAGTCTCACCATAGATCCAGTATGAATATTTTTAATTGAACTGCAAACTTGGATAGCATACTAAATTTTGTACTATTTATTGTATCATGCTTTTAAAAGTTACAGCAAACTAAAAAGGTCTGAGATAATTTCAAAGTTTGCCAGCTATGAAGTCCAGCAAACTGACCCTGTAAGTAACTTAGTTTCTAAGTAATTCCAGGCTAAGTTTTACTGCCTGGTAAGTACAAAAGTCATTGCTACTGGAGGCACACTACCAAGTGTCAAGCTTCACTCACAAGTTTCCTATTCCATACTGCTCACTCTACATATTTATATTACTCCTCACTAATATACTTCAACTGCAGCAGACAGGTGTCTTCAAAACAAGTGTACCCAATAGCTAGAAAATTTCCCAACACTGTTTTGGACAAATTCAAACGAACACAGTGCCACTCCCAACCAAGAAGCAGCCCTCTGTTACACCCCCAAGAAGGAACCTCAGGAAGCTCAATATACACTTATGTTTTAATTAGGATGCTAAACTGTTTTCCAGGGCACAGTACAATCATTCGATGCAGATAAGATTCAGCAGTACAGGGCACATGAAAAACACAGTAATAAAAAATCCACAGAAACAACTAGAATTGAATACTCCAGAGAAGGACGAGATTCAAGGAAATCAAGGAAGACAGGTTGAATGGTCTGGAGGAATTTGAAGTGTCAGTCTTGCTTAGCCTCGACAATCTTGAGACCCATCCACAGGGGAGACAATGCTATAGGTAATGACAGGCTCTTGTCTTAAGGGTCCCTCTCAGTAAAATACTGCTTACAGCAGCAATCCAGCAGCAGTGTCTTATGTAAGTAATATTGAAAGGAAAGAGAGCGCTCTGGGAGAGCTCTATCACAAAGATGCCAGCCCACACAATTTTCTGAGGATGGTGTCACCAGGCTCCAATGACTGTTTGGAACAAGTAGTTTCTTTCAGAAGATGATAGCAGTGTACCATATATCTACACAAAGCAGGACTGCAAGCATTTGCCACTACAAAGAAACAAGACAGCTATACTCAAGTTATTACTATTTAACACAAGCATACCGCAGTTTTTTTTAAACCAAGCAGCATGACCTATTATCTGAAAGAGGAACAGTAAATTTTGTTCAGTGTTACTCGGACTAAAGATTCAATCCTGTAGGCACCTTCTCTCTGCTCCCCTCGGCCCCAAGTGGCATTTCCTTTGTTTCACAAAGTCACTTCAATGCAGTACAGCCTGTTTAGCTGAAGAGCTTCCTTCGGTTTTGTTGCCATGTTCAGTCATAGTCAGAGTTATCAGAACCTTATGATATTGGCATATTTTACAGTTTTTATTTGAAGTAGAAGTCTACTTACGGTTTTTGCCTCCCTTTGCACTTGATTTCCCAAAATCTGAAATGTTGCTTCACTTATTGCAAATCCCAAGGTAACACAAGCAGCTAAGTCAAACCAGAAAATGCAGGAGGAATGTAATAGCACGGTGCTTAAAGCAATGCCTATTACAGGAGTACAGCTGTCACGCTAACTCTTCCTGCCTTTAAGATTTGGTCAAGGGGAAAATAACAGAAGAAAAGGCTTCCCAAGTTCTATATTTCCTCCCTGTTTAATAGGGATATTTCACATTCAACTGTTAGGCACACCTTTCAGATTTACTTTAAATATAACAGAACCTCCTTTTCTGTTTTGATGACGATGATTACATACAAGAATTCTGAGTCACAAGTAAAAGAGCAGTATATGGCTGCATTATCTCATGCAAGACCTTCGCCTTTCCCCATCTTCAAATCTGACTTGGTGCTTCCACTCATTCAAGCATGAAAAAAAGCAACAGCTGTTAATATAGCTAGAAATTGCCTAAGCATCTTTCAAGTAAGCTCTTCGTTTAAAGGCACATGGATCAAAACTTGAATTTGGTCATTTTGACTTTAATTAACGACCACATTAATTCTCACTACTTCAAGTACGGAGATACATCTAATAACAAATTAACTCAGCACTAAGTTTCAGAGAAAAGCGTCCACATAAGGAGACTGCTATCGTACTTTGTTAGCAGTATCCACTGCCAGAGGAAACAGATATTACTGGCATAATAGTGATGATTCAAACACCAGGTATTAGGCTAGAGGAAGTTCCTAAAAACATTCCCTTCACTGCCTCCCAAACTTGCCCTGTATTTGAACAGCAGTGACTCAGAGAAGCCATCAGATCAGTACCAAGGAATATTTACTTCTGAAAATGTCTTCTTGCTGTTTCTAAAGCCCCCCCGATTGTGTGCCCTTCAGTGCCAAGGTGTACAAGCAGTGATTGCTGTATGCTTAGGGCAGTAGAGCATGCTTTTTCCCTACCTAGACACCCAAGTTATAAAATGAAGAAATTTTCATCTTCCACATTCCATTTATGAACTACATTTGACAGAGAACTGAAGCCTTTTTATGATCTCTGTGTAAAAATACAGCTTTAATAAGACAAAGGAAAGAAAAGAGCAGAATCTCTCAGTATCTCTATCTTTCCATCTCAGAAACTTAGTTCCTTTGTGCTATGGCCTAGATTCAAATGCAAGTCCAGAGAAAAGTTTAACTCTTAATTTGCATCTTCACACAAAAACTCAAGCTGAACTGAACAGTAAGTATTAGTAAGTATCTGTTCAGTAAATAGACTACTTTTTTATTATTCATCTTTTTGTTTTTGAGAAAGGATTCCTCTAGCATGACAGAGAAGTAAGTTAATATGTTCCAATATGTTCCTTACTATAGCTTGTTCTGTCACTTTGTGAAACCGATTACCGAACATCATACTGCCAATCATACATACCTCAAAATACGCTCAGAGACTTCTTTCTGGTTAAACATACACACAAAAAAGAAAAAAACCCAAGCAATTATAGTTACCAATTTCACTGCCACTACCACCATCTTGAATGCTCCACAAGATTATGCTGCTCTCTGAGGCCACTGCAACCATCTTATCCTTGTCTCCATGAGGTCCTCCAACCACCTTAGCATTGAGAGCCACTCGCTCAATTGTCCAGTCCAGATAGGGACTCGTGAACACCTGCTGCCACCCAGATGATTCTTTAATTCTGGAAGGGCAAAGGAGGGAACAGGGAGCAGAAGTTAAAGATTCAGAAACAGACATCTCTGTCTAAGCCTGAACCAATGTGGATGATCCAGCCAAAAGTTTGGGCTAGCCAAATGCTAGAGAATGAGGTTCAGCATAAGACTTTAGAAGAAATCTCTATTAATTTTCAGAGGGAAGATGTCTTACATATCATGTTAGACACCCAATCACACTCTAGCATAAAGCTGTGCTATCTAGTCACATTTTCTGTTTATGGTGTACTGTAAACAGACTATACTGAACTGACTATAAACTTTCTTTGAGGAGAATCATTTGCCTGTGCAATTTTAAAGACTTACATGATGCCAGAAAAGCATAATTTATCTAAATTATTGCCTAAAACTAAATCAGATACTTCGCAACTGAGCTAGAGCACAGTAAATTTAAGCAGTTAAATTATATAAATGTTAACATGGAAAGTGAAACATATCTATAGTATTTTTTGCCATTGTTGCCATTCTTTCACTTCAGCATTGCATCCTGCCTGGAGATGAAGCACCACAAATCACTGTGCTCTACCCATACAGTATGCAGAAGAAATCATACTGAAGGGATTTAAGAGCAGGACTGCAATATCCATAAGCCTTTAAATGCAACTAAGACATTCAAGCTTTATTATCAAGTTTTGAAGACTTCAGCCATGCTTCAAAGGGGAAAAAATACTATCTTTAGTATGTACTGTGCTTTGCTGTAGCTTTCTACTGAAATAATTATCTGAAGTATTTAAATAATATCTTTTACAAGCAGCATACAAGAATGTCACAAAACTAAACATTTGAATATATTTAGTTTCTTACTGCATGGGATTCACTATCCACTACAAATTACCACTTTGAGAAGTGATTCTGGCTAAAATTCAGATGTTGCCCTTACATTAAAACAATCCTGACAAGAATCTTAAAAATCACATCACTTGACTGCAGCACAGTAGTATAAGCAAGCTATATTAAAATTTGTGGGTAGAGGGAAGTAGTTTTAGTTATATGCTGTCTCCTCAAACACTAGGTATTCAAAGAAGTCTGGGCAAATTCACTTGTCAAGCAATAAAAACCAGACAGGTACTAAGATGCAGCAGAGAGCGGAAAGACTGTTTACCAAAGCTGTATAAGAGCAGAATGGAGGAGGGAAAATTCCACCATTATATTCCTAGAGTTTCTGCAAGTTCCAGAAGAAAAAATATTCAGATCAAGACAGGACTGCTACCTTGAGTCACTATGAAGAAAAGCAGCATTTTAAACTGGCATATTGACCTTTCGGCAACTACTCCAGTCTGACATGCTTCATCAAAAGCACCACTAGTGACTTAAGTTCGATGGTAACAAGTCTTACTAAGTAGATTACCAAGCAGGAAAGAGGCAGAATCTTTCATTTAAGTGAGCTAGCATCCGAGGAAAACAGTCAGAGATAAAATCCTAAGGAGGGGACAATTAGCACAAAGACAATTGCAAATCATTGCCGCTTTCTCCAGTCAGACCATATTAAGCATTATATCAAGCATAATGTTCTTGAAAACAAGAACATTAAGTAGTGCAAGAGAAGCCACATTTAGCATAAATTAAAGCAAAACAAATTGCCATGGTGAATACAAGAGACAAGTTAGATGTTATTTAAGTTACAAAGTTTAAGCAAGTAAATTAGTGTTCTATATAGTGAAAAAGGCAGCAAACTATGGCTTCAGCTTGGCAGTAAAGAAAGAAGCTATTTACAATACACTCTTTATTCTCCCTTGTTTCTGAACCACACTACGACAGCAGTGTTTGGTTTTGGCGACAGCTCTTCTTAAAACATCACTTTTCATTGAAAAGACAGCCACCAATTAAACCACGACTACCAGATGTGAACTAAAAACAGCTTCTATAATATGAAGGTGTTACTTATCTTCACCTGATCTTAAAAAAATAGCCAGTTTGTTTACAAGACATTTAAAGACATTTTTCAGCCATCCATGTGAAAGAGCAAGTGCGTAACAGTTCTGCTAAGCCAAAAAACCTGAAGTTTAAGACAAGGTACATCACTTAGGTAGCAAAAATCCATTAACTGTTTCAAGTTCTTTGATAGTCTAACTTCACAGACTATCTTCAGACCCAAAGAGTAGGAAGAACTTTTAAAATGAATCTTTGCTTTAAAAGACTGCTTTAAAACAGGCTTTTGAAGCAGTTCAATTGGAGTCCATTACTTTTGCAATAGCATCAAGAATTGACATCAAAGCAGCAAAATCTGAATTCCTATCAAGCAGTTTGTCTGCACAAGGAGAAGTGGCAGTTCATATTTATAGGGGCAGACTAAATGCATGTGATCTACTGTCATTTGAGAGTAAACTTTCTGCTCTGCTCATAACAAGTTATCATATTTTTTTTAGATTCCTGTAACCTGACAAGCAACTATATTCATACCTGTAGCAAACAGCAAAATGGGCATAGGCAGCCACTATCCAATTATGGTGGCCAGCTACTATTAGGACTTTCCGTGGGTCCACAGGAAATCCTAAAAACAACAACAAAGCTGAAGTCAATCAAGTCATGGGTATTAGAAGATGAGCAGACACACCTAGAACAGGATAGAGATCTCTGCTAGGATATGCAACAGAAACTCTGATAATGAAGTTTCTCAAGGAACATTTTCAGCTAGATTCTAGTTAGCAATATTACTCCTCACAAGCCTTATAACTATTACAGTTCTTACATGGAAGGAAGACATTTCATCTCAGTCACTACAATGCAAAGTGTTCATAAGGAGAAAGGGGCAAGTACATGCCTCAGTTTTAAAGCCTGCCAAACTGGTAAAAATTTGAAGATTGTTATCAAATAAGAAACAATGCTTTCTTTCGTAAAAGTTCTTTCCAAATGGTTGGTGCAACCCTGTATTATTGTTCCAGACTCTTAAACTGAAATTTCCGGCATCTCAGAACACCTACAGCGCCTCCATTTATTATCTAGTGGGAGCATGCCTGTTTCTGATCTATAACTAAATTAGATTTGGCAAGTGTTGGATGGCACTGGAAATCAGTGGTTATGGTACTTCCCTGAGTTAGCTCTCAGCCTGGATATGCTGAAGATCTAATGCCTAAAGACTGCACCTTCTATCTCATTTTCCCTAAGACTGCCCTCTTCCAAACCTGCAGCAACTCACAAAGAAGAATCAGCAATTCATATCCAAGGCTTACTTTATATTACCCGGATATAGATTCACCTTTTAACATCCTCTAGATTTTCCTAACACTGCTACAATTTACATGATTATAGCAGAAATATGACACTAACCGCATCATTTTGCTTGCAAAGTCAAAAGCTGGAAAATGACAGAATTCAAGCCTATCTTATTTACAGTTTTTATATATTTTATATGGAAAGTGCTCTATATAGTCAAACAACTGAAGACTACCTTTACTTAAAAACTCGACTCTTGCAGGGCAAGAGAGGCACCAGGAGCAAGAAAGGTGCAAGAGCAGGAAGGAGGTTCCGAACAAAGACCAGAGACACTGGCCTGCCTGGTTTTTATCATGGCTTTAGTACAGCATAAGGCATTTGTCTAAGGGACCATATTAAGACTGCATGAAGAACTTTGATTTGCCTTTCAGCCTCACGTCTTGATTGTGCAGCAGTGAGCCTTAAATACTGTATAGGGAATAGTGTTTAAGTAAGTGTTCAGCAATTTAAGAACAGGCAAATGTAGAATAACAGGCTGAAACCAGAAATAGTCACTCAGTTTTTATTTCCCAGTGACAATCATCTTTGCAGTTTGTTTTGGTTTTAAAACTGACACTCCTCACCTAGCCTGACTGTACCTTCCCCAGTACCAGCAAGTGTAGGTTGGACACCACCACCTCCATGAACCTCACTCTCGGAGCAGTTTTGGCCAGTTCTAACATCAGCCGGTGGCCCAGCAGTGCTATTTATTTTACGGTTGGGAATGCCTATAAAAGAAAAGAGATACTTTGTTCCACTCCATAATCTTTAGCAATACAACAGATATTCATTCACTTTCAAAATACAGGATTAATACTTTTGCATTTTGATCTAAAGTCTAATTCATCTGCTATAATTAGGCAATATCATAACACTGAAACAGAAAATGCTTCTGCTCTCTACATTGACATTCATAATTTAATTTAAGAAACTATCTTCAAAAAAACTTGTCAACAATTGGTTAGATATCCCCTAGATTTCAGGTTAACACATGAACTGTGTTAATCTCTACAGAGAGGTAAAAATCTAACAAGTACTCATATTGTTAAGGAAAGCTCATTTATGCTGATTTGTCATGTAGACATAGGGCACCTAAAGTAACCATACCTTCAGAAAGAAGAAAGCGCTCCATGCTGTTAACATTTAACTGAAATGTACTTGAAGAACCTCTACTCTAGTCTGCTACCAAACACAGCCTGCTTAGTATTTACATACCACACCCCCCCACCCAGTACTCTAATTATGCCATTTCATACAGCAAACAGATAAAAGCCTTGTTTTTGAATCAGAACGATGTTCCATTCAGCCACTCATCTCAATCTTTCCATAGGAAAGCCTTCTCTGGACAGTTTGACAGCTAGAGTAACCACCTTGGCCAATCACCCCCACAAACTAAAGCAATAAGTGACTGCAAGCAACATCAGACCATGAATACAAAAATACCTGGAGGAGGCAGGTAGCCATGAAAAAGGACACTGCCACAAGATGAGCGTTCCAGTTCTTCACATAGTAGCAATCTTCTTACTAAGGAGGAAATACAGATATGACCATAGCTTTCACTTCCCAGGAAACATTACATTATTTCAAATAACCTTCTGTATCAGTAAGTTTGAAAATCTTCAGGGTCGCAACTGCCCAGGACTTGTAAGTGGGTCATTAGTATAGTAATAAATGTGAGATGACCTCATATTTAAAAAAAAAAAAAAAAAAAAAGAAATTACCTAAAGGAGTGATTCCATAGAATTCAGCTTCATGCCTGAGAACATTAATACTCACTCCCCTAGAGAAAGAACAAACAAAAAACAAACCCAAAAACCACAAGAACAGAGCAAGTCAATACCTTGAATATAAATACTTGCATATAGATATCACACAATGTGAACACCCAGCTACCTGTTTACAGAATTACCACCAAACACATTCAACATGTTGATGTTTGAGATTTCAAAGTGATCTTAATACTAATTATCTTTCATTAAAATAAGGATACAGAACAATAAAGAAATACATTGCCAGAAGTGGTTTAAATTACAAGAATCCACTTACAAAATATAATGCTACCATTTCTGCCTCCACTACATCATACATATAATCTAGACATGGCACCAGATCTACCAGGGAGTGGAGTCATATAGTAGGCACCCAACTAGCTGAGTAAAACTGAACAATCGTCATTTGAAAAAGTTTTCGAAACCATCTGATCAAATTCATTTTCACTTGAAATAATTAGAACTTCTTACCGTAAGTCTAACTCCTTTGTGCGAAGAAAATTTAAAATGGGTGCAAATGCTGCTGGATCTCGATCAATAAATATCTGCAAAGAAAAATTGCTGTACTTTTATCATTATTATGGAGCAACTGTCAAATGCTTTTTTATGCTGAGCATGGGAAAGAGGAGTTGAAGATGAGGCAGTCAGCAGACAAACATAACCCAAAGTTTTTAGACCACCCCTTTGCTCTCATTATTCTTCTACCATCCACTAATTCAACATTCTTAAAAGACATATATACAAATACTGCTGCAAATAGATGGCACTTAGTAAGCATGTTAAGTTCTAGAGTCTCCACAAAGGCCAATGGGTACTCTCACATTCTATCATGTGTTCAGAATGCAGTAAATGTAATAAGATCAATATAAATTTAGACTTTTTAATGAAGCCAATTACCATTACAACTACCTCTAGCTTTTAGCAAAGTACTCGTGTGCCTTGCTATCACTCAACAACACTGCTGTAACTGTAGTTTCCCATTTAACAATATCATATACACAGACTGAAATGGCCATTCTTCTGTATCTATTTGCCAACAAAAGCTACATTTCCATGTCAGGATTACTCAACTACATATGCAATCCTATCTAATGAAAATTACCCCTCCCTCTGCAGTACAGCAATTAGCAGTTCTTTCTGTTTAAAAAAAAGTACAGTTTCTGTCTCTGCAGTCTATACAATGCAGAATGAGCATAGAAATATGCACATTGTTCCAGTCTCATTTATCTTAGAATGAAGATGAGAACCAAGAAATCCAGAGATGTCACCAATTTTAATGAAAATTTGGAGACCAGATTGGCGCGATGACATTCACATAGTTACATCTCTGAGACCTTTATTCTGTCCTAAAATCTTTAAAACTTCACTAGACATAACTAAATTATGACTATATGATTATGAAGTCATTCTCCCACTCAATAGCCTGAACAGTATTGCAATTAGGCTTTGAGAGTATAAGAAAGAGGAGAGTGTATTTTGTAATGAATCTAACAAAAGAAAAGGAAAATGCATGGCAACATTTTGAAATTATTTCAAGGTCCCTTATTTTCCTCCTATTGAAATAAGTGACAAAACATGAACAAAAGGTCAAGTCCAATTGAACATTACTCCTCATGGACTCTGAAGCAGAGACAGTGCTGTCAGCATTTTAAACATAGGCTTCTGCAACACTACTATTAGGGGTTATGTAATACAATAGGGACAGAGAAAATACTGGCAAAAGCCAAAACACGTTTTTAAAAGCCCAGGAATGTGAATGTTTTTAATTCATTTGGCCATTTGTTTTCCATGCTTTTAAGCAGAGCTGACTCAGAAAGTATAATTCCCATCAGCACCCACAGTGAATATTCTTTAGGAGAGAACCTAACTGAAAGCATAACATTAAATTAACACTTTATCAGTAGGTTTATTACTCACAGCACCAGTTTCATCCTTCAGCGTTGAAATTCTTCCACTCAGCAAACTGAAACACAGGAAATCTTCATTAGATGTCCCCCAGAAATGTACTGACAAAAATACAAGACAGCAACATTCTCAGTCTCTTTGCTCTATTTGTGTATTGTAGATTTCATTTTGGTAAAACTGTATAGCTGAGCAAAGAAAACAGCCTAGGCAAGGCAGAATGCTGGTGAGGGTGAAGTATCTCTCCTGAACAAAGGAGCAGTGCATGCATAGCTAAGGAAAGGCTAAGAGTTGCATCAGAAAGACCTTTAGATTCCCAAAGAAAACAGACACAAGGCCTAGCCTGAAAGGATGGAAAAGTTTTCCCAGGCACCCAGAGGGCTGCATAGTTTGTTACAATCTAGTAAATCGGTAAAAGCTGCTGAAGTAAAAAGGAAGAGTAAACAATCCATTCTGCAAGGACTTACTTGGCAAGAATGGGGTGGATGAGTTCTTACACCATTTTACTTCAAAGTTTCTCTCCCATCAGATCAAAGTACTTTTGCTCCAGATCAGCAGAAAACACAATACTAAAACATGGTTTTACAGATACAAAGCAAACTAACTAATGTCATCAGTTTTATTTCAAGATTCCATGCGAGTCTGGATGACAATTACCTCTGAGATTTTCCAGTACTGGATGACTTTCAGAACAACCTCCTTAGATTAGTGTTGAGAGACTGGGGAATAGCAAGGGACTTCCTCCTTGGGACTTTCCTTCCATGCCTCAAAGAAGGTGACATTTCCCTGGCACTCCATTTATCTGAACATTTCCGTAAAACAGGAGCAGATAATGCTGCTTATGTCAGCTGCCAGGCTTTTATTGGGAAAGAAGTCTAGAGTATAGAAATTAAATGCAAGGAAGCAAAACTGCCAGCCTTTAGGTTTTCTTTTATGTGTTTGGGATTTACTGGGTTGGTAGAGGTACAGAAACTACAGCACAAAATTACCAGGGTACGAACAGTAAGCAGCACAACCTACAGAAGTAGTAAAAGTTAGCAGAAGGATGTTCAGTAATCCAACAGGTCCTGCATCACAAGTTAAAACCCTCAAAACTTTGACTAAACTCCAGGTACAGCACTAATTCAAAGAATATTAAAGGCAGTGCTACCCTATATGGTCAATAACATCACAAGTGGCAATACAGTAACAGTCAGTGGCATCTCCCTTTCCTGCAGACTTGGAGCCTTATTTCCACAACACTCCATCCAAAAAGTGACAACTCTTCAGCACATATAAGCTGCCATAGCATCATTCAAGACAGAAGATGCCTTTTGGATAGCAGCTTACTTCAAATTAACCTGTCCCATTGCTTGAGATAGGGAAAAAGCATTAAGGAATAAAGACACTATTTATGGCATAAATTAAGAACTGGGAACATTTTTCTTTTTTCTTTTAATGACTGTTAATTTGTCTTTATTTAATGTGATGATATATTACAAATACCTGGAAAAAAAAGAGTCTGGAATCCACATTAGTGTTTGTCTTGAAGTGCTGAACCTAGGAAACCAAAGTTACAAGTTTAGAATCAGCTGTATAATTGGAAGGAAGTCTGCTTTATCAAAATACTTCCACTTGTCCTCCAAAGCTGGTATGAAATGGGTTTGGGAAGTTTGGGATCATTTAAATGTCTACTCAAAGAGGTTGCAGATTCTTTGCACAGATTGTCCTTAAGCACAAAGCAGGACTGTCCAGAGACCCCAAAAGTGTAATTCTTTATATGTTTGTAACACACTGTCCCAAACATCCTACATTTTCTGGTTCTCATACTTAGTCAACATTAATGCTTGCAAAAAAACAAACCAAAACAAAACACCACCAAAAAAACCACACACACAAACAAAAAGCAGCCACTAAAATGTAAGTTTATCAACAGCGTGCTACATTTGTCATTAACTGCATGTTACTCTTATTTAGGACTCAAAGGGTGCTACATTGTGCACTGCAAAAGACCACAATGAGCTTCAAGTTAATATTTTACAGTAACTTTAATTATTTGCCATTTTGTTATTTGGGCCCTCTTAGGGGGTCTCAGTAACAGTAACAATTAAGAGAAAGAAAGTATTTACTCCAAATCATATTATGAAATAATACAAATTCTAGTATTACTTATGATGCCAGACAGTATTTTACATAATAACTAACTATGAACTCTTTTATACTTCTGGTTTTGATTTAACACGAAGGAAGACAACTGGACTGGCAGCTCGGACAATGAGTTCATGCTTTGCATCAGCTCTCTGACTGTACATATCCTCTTACTAGTACCATGACTAAGAAACCTTTGGTGACCTCTTCATTAATGGGAATCAAAAGAAGAAATGCAAAAGTAAAATTACATGACATGACAACTTTCCATATAGTACAGCAATACATTACAAAATATTTTTTGAATAAAAGTACTTAATCATAACTTATCTAGTTTTCACTGCTTGAATTTTCCAGTTTTGGAAGGAAAAAAAAAATGTAAAAAAAAAGCATTACTTTATACTCCCTAAGAGGCAGAAACACAAAGGCTATATGGAGCTACCATGCTGCAAAAACATGGATTGTGTAGCTGCTCACTGCAAGCATAACAATGATAAATCTGTTTTTAACAGAAAAACTACAGTATCAGTGTTCTAAGCACAAACATACACAAAGTCTTTTCTAAAAAAGAAAAAAAAAATTTAAAAGAATCAAAACAGCTTGCTATTTAAATGGAAAGTGACTTCTAAGTATATTTGCAGTTTTGCACAGCTTTTATCATCAGTAATACAGATCACTACCCTTCTCTACTTTAAGAGTAAGGGATGATTCTGAGTTACATAAATTTTATCCAAGATTAATCCAGAACTGCTTCTAACTATTGGGATAGATGCAGCATCACCAGTTAGCCCTTTTAAAGGTCTTCATAAGCTAAAGACTTTTATTGTCTAATACTTTAAATATTTTACAACTTTCAATTATTTTTGTGCTTTTAGAAAAAAAGAAGAGAAAAAAAACCACAGAGGACTTATGGTTTCCCAGGAAGGCATGTGTAGGTAGAAAGACATGGAAAAAGTACTAGAACCACAGCTAACTGGCATTGTCTACAACACTGAACAATAAATGCTAAATTAATTCTGAAGCAATACAGAAGTCTGATGAGATCATGAAGACATTCAGGATCTTTGAATGGATGTTTGAGGAACTGTCTTCTCAAAATGCTACAGCACAATTTCTGACCTGGAGGCACATTTGCATTTAGGCACATGAGTGACAGTCAACTATTCAGAGGCGTCAAGACTGAAGTTTTGCTGGTGTTTTGACCAGCTGGGTTCTACTCTAGCTTTTCCTAAGTCAGTTAAAGAGCTTAGCAGCAAAACATTTGGGACTAGAAGATGCTCCAGAAGAACAAGCCACACAATCAGGAAGACAGGAAAAAGAGCCATCAACTGATTCCACATTCATCTCCTTGCAATTTTATCAGTGGGTTTAGATAGCACAAGGATTTTCTGTCTATGATTTAGCATGATGGTACCAGTTTAGTAAGCAATACCTCATACTAACATATACTTTAGAACTTTTAATACATACACATTAATCTATGTAAACAACAAGACAGAGTACTCCTTTCCAGGATGCAGAAAGAACCTTAGCTAGCAACATTTACGTGTGTTAAGTGCATCTGCAGCTCCATGCAGCTAACATGTAGCAGTCAGACAGACATCGTATGAGGAAAATTAGGCAAACCCAGTGCAATATCTTCAAATATACTTAAGCAGGTGGCAGCCTACCATTATTTTAAAGAAAATATAGGCAACTAACTGGAAACAGATACACTGTGTCAGTTAGAAAACAACCATTTTCATTGTCTATTGTGCTTGTAGAGTTATAACCAGAGGGAAATAAAGGGCCAAAAAAATTCACTAAATTTGTTACAGTAATTTCTGTGAATGTTAACTTGCAAGAGGCTTGTGCTCCCAGCAAAGTAATCCACAACAGCTGAGACCAGGAACTGTTGGAGCAACTGCACACAACAGAGAAGCTCTGGCAGTCCCAGGAAGCAGTGGGAACCTTGTGTCAGAAGATGGTACGCTGGGGTCTCTGTACTAGATGCTCCAAAGTATAACTGCTGTCAGAGGAAGGCGCTAATTTCTTCTCATACAACTCTACAAACAAAACTAAGAGTTTCAGGTTTCTAGTAAGGGTAACAGGAACTAATGAAGAGAAGGAAACGTCTATAGTAACCTATGCTCACCCATTTGCTGTCCAGATCATCCTCTCCACTGTCAGCTGAGTCACCTGCCTTTCCAAGCTGAAGAACCTGGCTCAGATATATTTTTCAAAGAATATGGGCACTACAAGGGAAGTTGAGCTTGTAAAAGACCAAAACCTCTTACACAGAGGTACTATTGCATATTGTCTCCCTATTAAAAGGGCAATGTCCATGCACACATTTCCTAATCCTTACATCCAAATGATATCTGTTGGCTAGAATCTAGACCTTCAACTAGAAATGAAATACATACGATTGTTAGTTTGCCTTATTCTTCATACTTCTCTGTGTAGGTAAGCCCTCTGAGGATGTGTATTTGTTCCCCAATTCACGCCCTGTACACAATTCTCTGTTCTCTGCAGAGACATTTAATAAGCAAGATCTATTTAAAGTTATGAGATTGAAGCATCTTTGTGATTCCACTTTTAATAAAAACCTAAAAGATGAACTAGCGTATAATTTCAGAGTTCACTGAAGAACCTTGTTCACTCTAACATGAAATCTGGTCCAAGCCAACATCAATGTTATCCTGAAAGCACCATCATAGTGAGTTTTGCCTATGCAAGTTACAAGCAGCTTCTCTGGGCTGAACCGGGTTCTTAATATCTTATTATAACAAAGGAATTCTGCATCGAATTTATGGCACCCTCCTTTAAGAAATGCTGCAACATACAATTTAGTTATAAGAACAAGTTCATTTGCTGGGTAATGCAAGAAAATTCTTACAATAGTAGTAGTTGTAGTTCTTATTACTTATAGCTGGTTTCACATTGTGCGCAGACTCGGGAAGACACATTACTTCAGTTTCCACTAGCTACAACAGTAATCTGAATGATTTCATGCCTGAGCATTTTGACGGGAACATTTGCACTATTTATCACACAGACTCTGACCACAGCTGTCCCACATTCTCTATCTCAGCCTGCCAAAATGCCTACATACGCCAGCTTCCACACTTCCAGCGTACATTCGAATACAGTACAGTTCTTTATTCTGGTTGATAGCACCAGGATCATATCAACCTTTTCAATACCTTAGCTTCTGAGGCTGCTACATAGACTGATCCCTAGAAGCCTATGGATCTGATGGCAAAGCAACCCTCTCTGTCCACTGCTCCTGACGAAGGGGTATACCCAGAGTCCATAAGACACGTTACTGGAGTACGTATCCAGAACCCCCCAGACACTGCAGGCAGACACCAGACAGGGCTGCCAACACTTCCCGTATCTGCCTCCAGGTACCCCTGACTCAGCCCCCCTGCAACACGCTGGGTGAAGCTTTATTCAGGCCCTCCCGGAGGCACCACCATGCGTGCAGCACCACGTCCAGACCACGGAGCCCGGGCGGACAGGTCCCAGGCGACTCGGCACCGCCGCCCTCCCGGGACGCAGCGGCTGCCGG